TCCCATAGCGCAAAGTCACATGACTTTTTTGATGCGCTTGGAGGAATTTATTCGCAAAATGCATTTCCATCTCCCATTATTCGCATCAACCCTTTGCACAAGTCAAAAACCACCTCAAGCGAGCGTAAAAACTTTTTTGCGAATTAAGGGATTTTTATTCAAAATTTGGCGTTTCCATCACTCGTTTCTCATGCGATACTTCAAAATGCGCATTAAAATATGGGTGATGGAAACATAGCTATTGAGACTGACTTGGTTTAAAGGGGATTAAAAAATGAGGAGTGGGTGGATTTTTATCATTGTAGGGTGGTTGTGTTCACACACTGTCAACACACATTTATGTCCAAACACCATGTAAAAGTGGATTTTGCATAATAGGTGCCCTTTAAAGAAAAAAAAAACTTTGAGGACTTTGCCTCCTTGCTTCAGAACACCACCACACACCACTGAGATGTGTGTGTGTGTATATATATATATATAGGAACATTTCACCCCTCAGTGTCTGTGGTTGACATAACAGACTCTTTCAAAACGGCAAAAAAGCATGCCAAATCCCACCTGCTCTTTACTATGTTTACTTAAGGATCATGTTGTCACTGTTGACCTTGGGGAGGATTTGATTGCAGATGGCTGAGCTTTCTATCTAAAATCTCATGATCCCCTTTAGTATTGCTCAACATAAATCAAAGTGTTCCTTCGCTCGGCAGAGAGACAGTACTTTTACTTAAAGATGAGGTCAAGCCCATCGAGGATAGTTTCCATGCTCCAGAATGTGATGAAAATGCTAATCTCAGTTTTTAATTATGTATACGGGTAACATATTTAAAACCAGCATATTTGACATAGTATCCTCAATTCATACATGAAACAAATCCCCAAAAGAGTCTTCCATAAACTTTTCAAAATAACATAGCATAGCCAAGTAATAGAGAAAATAAAGCTACTGTAGCATAACATGGTCTAAAATAATTAGCACCTTTATATGACATAATCGGAAGATAATTACTTCCTCAAGCCTCAACGGACCCCCGTTTATTTTTGTAGCATCCATTTGTATATTCTACAAATGGTAGAAAAAAATAGTTAATTATTCCCTGGCTGTCCTTAGCAAACAAAGCCTCAGTGCCTTAAAACAAAGAACAGGTTCTGTTAACCAAGCATAAATTGTCAAAACCTGGATTATTTTAGGTTTTGCTATTCAAAACCATTCAAGGTCAAACTAACTTCTCAGGAACTGCAATCGGCTGTGCTGAAATGTTATAGTTTTATCCCAACAGGCCCTTCTAGAATGACAATCACATATAGCGAGCTGATCTTTAACTCTTTAGCTGTCAGATTGTGGAGTACAATGATCTAATCTTGAGTCTGAGACCAAGGAACATTCTCAGACCAGTGCCATCATATTCCTGTACGTGTACAGGAAGACATTCCTTTATCATCCTCCTAGCCCTGGTGCATTCAAACCCTACATTTTAAACAGAGCCATTTATCACACAACTCTGTCACAAAGAGCTTCCAGACAGAACCTGGAGAACAAAGGATTCATATTCCATGCAAAGCACCGATGGCAACCTTTGATGTTTATGTCGCCTGATAGATGAATTGCACTAGCCCTCGGTATGGGAGTTATTCCCTACTTCCTTTAAAGATCTTAAAATGAGCAGAGTTCACTCCCACAAACTTATTACTTTTTTTGGTCACCTTTAGCAATAATTCACTGTGAGAGTCCTCGAGGAATGGTATACAGCAGCAGCAGCAGTATCTCAGAAAACAACGTGAGCGGCTCCACGGAACGGCTTGTCCACACCTTTGCAGTCAACAAAGGAGCACAAAGCCTTGACCATCCACTGCAAAACCAAGCCGCTGATGATAACATGGACAGTTGCTGTCATCTCTCTTTGACTGTCGTCATGGAAACTGATCAACCGGGTATCGGAGGCCAGGTGAAGTGTCTGCTTGCCTCCAGCGAGCCATCTGAAAAATGACAAAACAGAGCGCAACAGATGTTTTACAATCATCCTTCTCTGACAAACGCTCTGGTTAGAAATCAAAAGATAATCAATTATAAGAATTAGAAGCAACCTTCCATCTGTTGAAATGTGGTAATAAATTGGTATAACAATGTATCACTTTAAATGAATGAATCTAACTTTTCAGAAAGTTTCTCGTTGATTGTTTCTTGAATGTATTAACATACGATTGGTCTGTCTTTCAGAAGAATGGAAATAAAATTATATTAAATTTGATATGCCATTGACATTTTAAAATGCCATACTAAAATTGGTTCTTGTGTTTCATTACCAAATGCAACATGCCAGCGCAAGGCAAGATTTCCTGTGAATAGCAATCCGATTCATATGGATTTAAAAGACTCAGTCTCAAAATAATAACTATTTTTTATGGTTCTTTGTGTTCTGAAAGTCATATGGAAAGCTGTGTAAAGATTCATTAAAAGATTAATCAAACATTCTATTCTTTTTGTGTTAAAAAAAAAAACACAAGAGGGTAAGTAAATACTGATTCTTATTTTTTTACTTCCTTTTGCATGAAATATGCCTTCAAGAAGGCAAACAATTTGAAAAAATTTGCTTTCTGTTCACTATTGAATGCTTAATCGGATTTTATTTATTGGTCCTTTTCTAGGAAACACCATTCTCATGGATATGGATATATGGTTTTTGCCATGAATGAATCTGAAACTTTAATCTAAATCCACTATTTAAAATGAATTTATTAAAGCAGAATTCTGACTATAACTGAGAGTCAGTCTTAAGGACTTTTATTCTGGCTTCTGTGCACAATGTGAAAAATGTGCATATTTGAATGACTCATCACTCTTTGTAAGGTGAGGCAGAGAGAGAGACGGAATTCTTTGAGAGACTAAACAGGATGTCTCACATAACCAACAGAACCGTTTGATGGGGGCAGAAATGTGCAGCTTTAGAGAGAAATGCAGATGAACCAGTTTGCACGCTGCATTATGATGGGGTCATGTGTGTATTAATTAAATTCACCTAAGGACCGGGTCGGTTTTCATTGCAGAGGGGAAGATATTTCTATACTCTCCGTTTCTTCAAATAAAAAAAACAGACAAGTCTGAAGTCTCAATTTATGCAAAAATATTCCATTATAGAAAGAAGCTACTCAGGCCATGCCATAGGCTGCCTCAGCTTCAAAGAGCAGCCACAGTGAGACTGTACTTTGTGGGGAGTGCGAAGACCCATTACATTACATGCTAGCAGTGGGTGCCTTTAGATTACCACAGCCTGTGAAAGAATTAGGATACTGATAAAACTGCTAGCAATGAGGGCAGGGACACACGCGCTGCCATCTATTCTCTTTTATCTATTGTATTATCTTACGTAACAGCTGGATGACGGTACTTTTTACTCACGGGTTACTATGAGCTGAAAGAAAGCAGCTAGTGAGTAAGGGATACAGCTTCACTTCATCTCTGAGACGGGGGTGATGACGTCAGTATTCCACTAGGGCTACACAAACAGATATTTTTAGTAACTACAACTCTGGGGACAGCAACTAGGAGACATGTTTACCCTATGAAATAAATGAGGTGAAGTACAAGTTTCATCATCTCTCATAAATTATTGAAATTATGCTTATGTGCATCAATGCAAATGCATAGATTAAAAATTAGACTATTCGTTTTTCTGACAGGCCCTTTCTAAATAACAGCATCACGTTTTGTGGTCCTCAGCTGGATTGGCTTATAGAGATCCTCAGCTGGAGGGTTGCAGGTCTATTCTGAGAAAAAAAAAACTGAGTTATAAAAGTGCAACTAAGCATTAAATAGTCTTGTAAGGAGGAGAACACACTTCCCATGTCTTGTTGATGTGAGCTGTTCAAAGGTCAACTTCCTGTCATTAAACTATATCATTACTATTTTAAAAATATTATTCTAATAGGATTAATAATCAATGCTTTTTTTTTATTTATTTTGTACAATAACCAATTTTTGTCCTGCCTTGGTTCACCCTTTGATGCCCTGGAAAACGCACAAAATACTGTCTTACATGATCTTTTATACCAACGTCATTTGAATGAATATTATTCATGGATTAGTGTTGAATAATGAATTTATGTTGTCCGTATTCATCTCAGTTTAACTCTTACAAAAACAAATTTGATAAATTAAGAGTTCAGCATTGTTGTCAGTATGACGTAGTAAGAGACGCGTGCGTAAGGAGCGCCGCTGCCCTTCAGGAAGGGAGGAACTACAAGCAGACGATTAAATATGCGCACAATCCTCTTGTCTGCAAAAGTTTAAGAGAAACAACAATACTATCCATTAAGAGGATTGTTACAAGTGTTCTGTTACTAATAAAAAAAACGCCTAGACGACGAATAATTTCACCGTAGAAATAAGAGAAATATAAAATGGCTAGCAGGTGAGTCGTGCCGATTTCACATTTACAACGAATTTTTTTTCCAAGCAAGTCAAAAACAAAATGCCTTTGTGAAGTTGGGTCCGGCTGTATCTTTCAACGAGTATTTTGCACGTCGCGTTATGTCCATTTTGTTTATCCGGAGAAAATATTTCCTGCACAGTTGCGTCTTCCAAATTACTAGCGCGCCTGCGCAAAACAGGCAAGGCAATCTGGGATCTGTAGTTTTTGCTATTGCGAACGTCAAGGATAAGTTTGATAATACTAAACGTAAACAAATAACAATGTATGTACATTATTAGCAACAATAATAGCATTATAATATAGGGTATCTGTATATGAATGACTACCATAAAACGCAGGATATGCTTAATTTACAGTCCTCACAGAAAAACAGTGCCACACAGATAGTGACTATTTTCCACTAATGCTGTTATTTGATGTGTTTCAAGCTGAAAATTGGTATGCTGTGGCCACAATGTCAAAAAAAGAAGATTCGGGAGGAAAGAAAGGGTAGGTATTGTTTTCAAAAGTTTACGTGCTGTAATTTTTCCACATTTGTAATGTGAAATGAAGGAGAATGTACATTCAAATTACTGTTATTGCAAAATAACTCCCGACACTGATACAATTACCGTTTACACTCTCTTATATGCTGCACACAAGCATGATTATTTACATTACATATTCATCTTTCCACAGTTCTCACCAAACTGAACTTTACGCAGAGGTCCCTGCGACATGCCTGCCTATTGTCTATTCCCCAGAGTACAACATCACCTTCATGGGTTTGGAAAAGCTGCATCCCTTTGACGCTGGCAAATGGGGCAAGGTCATTCGCTTCTTAAAAGGTGTGCAGCACAACTGCAGGTGGAGTTTGCCAGGCTGGCACTCTAACCAGTGTGTAAGGTGATCTATAAAATATATATGATATAAAAAGAATTGGGGAATCAAAGAGCTGCAAGTCAGTGCAGGAATGGAGGATGGTGGGGAGGTATAGGTGGAGGGATGTAGAGAAGGATAGAGAGAGGAGCAATCAGTGAGGCAGCGATAATGAGGGAAGCTGAACTCCCCTCGGGAACAGGAGCAAGAGGATGTTGGCTTCTCAGCTGCTGCTGCAAGGTCAGGGGCAAAGTGTAACTCTGGCAACTCTTCAGATAAACTAGTCAGCAGCGCAAGCTTTTTTTCCTCATTAGTTCACTTAACAGTTGAAAATGTGCTGAGCTTCTACAGCTCACCATGTATTTTTATTCGACTGTCAGATATTTGTGTTCACATTCGTTGTTGCTTTCATATGATACATTGATTTGTTTCCAGAGGAGCAGTTCATCACTGATGAGATCATTGTTCTAGCCCGGGAGGCCAGTGAGGCGGATCTTCTTGTGGTTCACACCACACGTTACCTGAACAGACTCAAGGTAGAGATGCAGTGTCTGCTGTGCCCATGTCCTGTGTTATCACTTCTTTTTCTAGCACCCATAACTCCATATACTGATGGCAAAAGGTTACTATAAGCAATACAAATAGCCAATTATAAAAGCCACATTCTGATTTTCTAATTGGTTTGTCCTTTACCTCAAACCGGCTTGCAATAAACTGCAAATTTACTTGTTGTAGACCTTCTAGGAGATCAGTGCCAAAAGAAGAATCAATTTGAATCTATTATAGCCCCATTATGACTGTGCGGACATTCCCTACTTTATCAAAAAGACATCTAGACTTCTCATTTCATCTCACCAGGAATGAGCCAGTGATGCACAGAGGAAGTGTACAATAGCAAATTGCACTGGATTACTCCAAGCAGGCCTTTATTTCAATCCAAATCAATCAGTTCGCAGTCTTCTGCAAAGATTGCAGTCTGCCAAGAGGCTCTAAAGCACCCATGAGTCAGCTGCCCCATCATGCATTCTGCACAGTGAGGAAAATTTAAAGGAGCAGTTCACACATAAATGAAAATTCTGTAATTATTTACTCATCCTTGTGTTGTTCCAGAACTGTGAGCTGTATAATAATCAACTCTACCAAAAACTGCTGTCAAGTGTGAATGCCGAAGTAAACTTTAAATACTTTGTTGCGTACAACTGTTATAACAACATGTATGAAATTATTTTAAAATGATATTAACCCTTCAGTTATAGACTTCCGATGAAAGAGCATCAAAAAGTTGTTCTATTGAATGATTGATTAAAGGCATTGGCTCATTGAGTCATTTGTTCATGAATCAAACTATACTAGTTACACTGTATGCTTTTGAGTCATTTGTTTGTGAATCAGATTATGATGGTTGTGTTGTTTGTTTTATTCACTAAAAAGAACCTCTTTAAAAGAATAATTTTTTTTTCCTGAATTGAGTTGTATTTTGTAATTCACTAAAAAGAACCAGCTCAGAAGAGTCATGGGGTCATGAATCGGACTACACTGGTTGTGCGGTGTTGTTCACTAAATTCGCTAATAAGAAGAGAAGTCATTTGTTCGTGAAATCTACTGTTGAATTGTATGTTAACTGTGCGAGCCGTGAGAACAAAAGAAAAAAAAAAGTTATTTCTTGCTGTTTTACGGCGTATGGCCCTTTTTTTATCGTATCAAATTCAATTGTCTTTGCCTTGGTACTGGGGATTCAGTACAGACACGTTGCTGCTGAAAAGCGATACGGGAATGCTGCAGATCGAGCTTGCTGTAATGAAGATCACGATTAATCAGAAAATCGATATTTTTATCCATCTTTAGCTAGAATGAATGGCGTAATGCATTGTGGCATTTTAAGACATTCGTTGTGTAAGAGAACTGTGAAGATTCTTCAGAATGTCTCATTTTGGGTTCATGGAAATGCACCTAGAATCACATGAGGGTGAGTAAATACATGACAGTTTTAATTTGGGGTGAACTTATTCCTTTAAATTAGGCGTTCGATTTCCTGAATCTATATTTGGTGATGCATGTGTTGCGTCAGTTGTCGCTTGTACTGTAGCTGAGTCCCACTGCTCTCTGCTCACTTATGAAGGCTTATCGTTCAGCTACTTGGTCACCCTTTAAATCGGCTCTGTGTATGTATTCTCTCTTTCCCTTAATGCATGCAGAACGCTATCTTGGAGGGCTCCAGAGAGGTATCTGAGTTCTACTGTGACCGAATCTTTTGCTTCACACTTTTTCACTCTGTAATATATATTAGTGTAGTCTATTTATCCTGCTTTAACATTTTGCCACCAGTTTGCATTTCCACTAAATTTTACCCCCTGCATCAACTATTTTTCACTCCCAGAGCAAGATTGGAAACCTGATGTATTGTACAATCCACCATCACCCCCCCTATAGCTTTCTGTTTTGATTTCTGGTATTTACAGTATCCATTTTTTTTCACAATATCCAAAAAGAAATAATGTCACAATATTTGTTAATTATAATTTAGAAGGCATAGTAATTGTAATTTAGACCCAGAGTAGCATGATCGCTTACCTTGAAAAAATGTGCATGTGATTTCTTCCCACTCAGTGGTCGCTGGTGGTTGCCACCATCACAGAAATCCCACCTGTCCTGTTCCTGCCCAACTTCCTGGTACAGCGCAAAGTTCTAAAACCTTTGCGAACACAAACGGGAGGAACCATTATGGTAGGTTTCAAGTATCTATTTTACCCAGAAATGTATATGTGGAGATTAAAACGAATGAAATGAAATGAATTCATACTGAACTTTTTTTGTACAGTGGGGTGGCATATGGATTCAGATTTATTGAACAGTTTCATATCATAATTATCATGTTATCATGTCAAAGCCTCTTGTCCTCAGGAGATTTAGGTGGTCAGCTCATGTGTTCATATTATTCCAATTGTAATTTCTCTCATAAAAATAAATCTTAAAGAATTCGAATGATAATTTTTAAAATCCCAATCTACAGTCTGGCAACAAGAATCATCCCAACATAATATAAAATGAGATTTTTAGTGAATTCGGCATATGCCTGAAAAAGGTCTTTGGAAAAGACTGTGGCTTTATAATAAAGACTTTCAAGCTACAACTGTGAGACCTTTTCTATTTTAAAAGAAAACATAGTTCCCAGTGGGACTATTATGATCAGAAAAGCATAAAATTAATTTGTAAGAATCAAAAGGAAAAAAAATATTTCAGGATTTTAAAGTTTTATAGCTGCCCAATTTCATTTTATTGTCCAACAGCAAGACTTTGTATCAGTACAATACAAATAGGGTTTTGATAGATTACACATCTTTACATATCAAATAGAAAGTCAAAAGAAAATCCTTCAGTTTATCCATCTCATGTGTTTCTGTAGGTCTTAAGATTCTACAAGCTCTAACAGGGTTTTATTCCTAATGCTCTGTTTATGCTGCAAGTAAGTAGCACAGATACATTTTAATAGAAATGGTGTACACATTGCTTTAGGATTTTTTCAGTAGGTTTTGTACAACACCAGGTGTTATACTGCTCGGAGAATGTAATACAGTGAGTCATCATCTCGCTCAGGCTCCAGCTCCATGGAGTATTGTTCAAAGTTTTGCTAGGAAATGGGAACATTTGGTGACAGAAAGTTGTTTGTGAGGGCCTAGTTTGGGCCTCTCATTGGCATAAGTTGAAATAACCTGGGGAGGAACAGCCGGTAGGAAAGGCTCTGAACATCTGTGATAGAGACGCTCGGAGGAGTTTCTCACAGGTAACACAACCAAATTAACACTAACAGCCTCTTTTGAAGCTATCATAGAAGCAGATACATTACTTTCTGCTTTTCTGCTTGGGAGTTAAGCAGAGAAACAAAAAATAAAGGCTGAGAGTGCTACTTTAATTGCTTATGAATTTTCAGTGTTTTATTTCTCAAAGGAGGTATCTGTTTTTGGATCTTAACCTGCTTGGATGTTTGCGCACTTCAGCCCATGACAGTTTTCTCTGTAGGAAATGCTTTCTGATGGTTAAATTGTTGTATTTAAATATTTTATTTGCTTAAACTTAAGCAATAAGCACACAATGAGAACACAACTGAGAATTGCTACTACTTACAAGACCATTTGGTATTTCTACCAAGAAGAGTGTATCACAGTATTTATCTATAATAATAGTAGTAATTGAGATTTACATTTTCTTAGGAAGATGTAATGACAGGGTGAGTCTTTTTGAAACTTCAGAACAACTAAACCAATTCCTTTAAAAATGATTCACTGATTCGAACAGATTCTAAACTTGTTGAAGCAATAGAGACTGTGTAAATGCACAGCAAAAATATATTTAATGGCATGTTTTCCCAAACAATTGAAGCACCTGGGCATTATGTGGACTATATTACCACCTAAATAATTTTTACTTGTAAAAAAAAAACTTTAAAAAAGCAAACATAGAGGTTACAGTGAAGCGCTTACAAAGAAGGATTTAAAAGCAGAAATATGAAGCTTATAATTGTATATAGGCAATTAACATAAAAAAAAATTCTGTTAAAACTTGACTAAAGTTGTACAATTAAATGCTACTTAGCAGGCAATTTTTTCATAATAAAATCATGTTAACACCCATATTGTTTACTCCTTGTGGCTATACTATTAAAGCAATGTTTTAATGTTTACAGATTGGCCTCATTCACCTTTATTGTTAGTGCCTCACTGTGACTGTAACCCAGATTTTTTTGCTTTTTAAAGAAAAGGATGGACAAGCCGAAATGAATTTTTATGGTAATCAACATTATTCCAAAAAGGCTGTTGATTGAGCCGAACCCAGGAAATTCCTTTAAGGCACATTGGTGTCAATCTTCTAGCAGCAGTACCATCTATCCTCCCTGTTATTCCAGTGATGTAAAAGACTGCAGTAAATTACTTTGCGGTATGCCAGGTGTTCTCCACAGTGCATCTGCGCTCTGACAGACTGCACTGCGCGGCAGACGAACTCGCGATGAGTGTGCTCCACACGTCCCTCTCAGCCCGAGAACATAATTACACCTCCCATTGAGCCCCTCTCACGGCCTGCTAATTGACTGCCATTTCAGTCAGCAGACGACAGGCTGGATGGAGCTGTAGTTCTGGTTCGGGGAACATGGGAGTATGTGCGGGCCGTCCCCGTCTTAGGTAGTGAGCAAGGAAGTTCAAGGTTAGACAACATCCGCTGTGTAATTGTGGGCGTTTAGGAGGAATTATCATAATGGGCAGACTCGTATCATTAATCTCTGTTCTGTTGTTGTGGATTTGTTTATTATCAGAGTCTTAATGTGATGATTATGAATGAGATCAGATGTGCACACTTGTCTTTGCTTTAATAGCACTACTTCAGTTACAAATAGGCCGGTCGAGCTTGAGTTTAGAGATGCAGAATGTGGCGGTGGATGTTTGTATAAATTGAAGCTTTTCACTCAGAGCGGTCGTGATGTCATTTAGGTAGTTCGACTAGAAATTACACTGATATGAGCCCTGTTTAGATTCTGAAGAGGATACATTTAAAAATAAGCATGGCCCAGAACCAGTGTGAATGAGTGAATTCTAATGGTGTCCCAGGAAACTGAGTCATCAGTGTTTCAATGTTTCGTAGATTTGTGTTTACTAGGGCTGCACGATAAATCGCATGCGATTTATCGTGCAACCCTAGTGTTTACTGTATACTTATACACTGCTTAGGGGTCTAGGGAGTGAAATGAAACACAGGTGGGGATTTGTCAAAGTGTGCAAGTGACTTGTGATAGTCTTTGCATCAGTTGGAAAATATTGGTATAAATAAATCAATATTGTTTTGCAATGTATTTCATCATATTCCAGCAAAAATCTAAACAACAGGGATACATTATAGCTGGCATGAAATATTTATTTAAAAATACATTTAAAATGGCTGCTGAAAATTAGTTTTTGCTATTACAGGAATAATGGACATTTTAAAGTAGTGTGTATTTAAATCTAAAACAGTTTTTAAATTGTAATAATATTACACAATATTGCTGTATTTAGTGTATTTTGATCAAACAAATGCAGCTTTGGTGCACTTTTCTCCATTTCTGTGTATATATATATATATATATATATATATATCAGCTGAACTGAATGTGAACTACTGGCCCAAAAATCCATATTTTGTTGAGGCCTATATAGACTTTTTCCATGTTGCCTTTTCTGTTTCATTGAGAGCACTGGATGCTTTGAATAAAATATTACTCATGAGTAAATTTATATGCACTCTGGCCCTTGAATTGATTGAAATGATTGCAGACTCAAATCATTTTGATTCAGTTTTACTGATGGATCCCCTATCAGTAGAAACTCTGAGGAGAGGGAGTGTGGGAGAAAGTTAAAAAGGAAAGATAGAGCTGAGTTGAGCTGAGCTGTGCCTTCTAGGAGCCGCTCGGGGCTCTAGCCTCACTGATAACCTTCTCCTTATGCAAAGCCATGCACTGGCTGCAGCCAAGGGATTGAGCTCAAGAGCACTGTGTGTGTGTTCGTATATGTGTGGAGCTCTCCTCTCAGTTTAGCACTCTACTTCATGAGTGACTGAAAGTAGCTTTAAATGCACTCAGAGGAGAGTGTCATGAGTGTACTGGGCTGTATATCAATTCTAGATACAGTTAAACGGGTCTAAAATTATCATTAGTTGGTATCTCAGAGTGTGAAATAATACAAATTTATAATAGATAAGCAACACAAATCAGAAATAATATTGTATAGTTTCTACTTTATATTTCGTTGTTTGTATTTGTAAAAGGTCTTTAATAGATGTTTGTAAAAAGATGATACATGTTTCTTGAGCACCAAATCAGCGTATTAGAATGATTTCTGTAGGATCATGTGACACTAAAGACTGGTGTAATGGCTGCAAAAATTTAGCTTTGCCATCACAGTAATAAATTACATTTTAAAACATTAAAATAGAAAATTGTCATTTTAAAATGTTAACAATATTTCACCAAATGGCTGTTTTTACTTGATTTTTATTAAATAAATACAGCCTTGGTAAACATTAGAGGCTTCTTTTCTAAACATTAAAAAACCTTAATGACCTCAGTGGTAGTGTGTGTGTGTATATGTGTGTATATATATATATATATATATATATATATATATATATATATATATATATATATATATATATATATATATATATATATATATATATATATATATATATATATATATATATATATATATATATATATATATATATATACACACACACACACACACAGTGTATATATATATATATATATATATATATCAGGAATAAAAAAACAAAAAATACACTATTTATGAAAAATGTCCCTCAACATAACCTATTTAAGGCTATACCACTCTGAATGGTACTGCAGTGCTAAGTACTCAGAGCTTCCAAAGACTCATGGAGGCAGCTAAATTACTTTTGACAAGAAGAAATGATAAAAGAAAACACGATCTGGTCTCATTTTGAAAGACGAGTGAAAATCTGATTATTATTTCAACAAAGCAGCATCAGGTTTTCTTTTTATTGCAAAACTCATTGGAATGCGCCACTCATGGAAGATGGTCTTATCTGTGATAGACAAGACCCTTGCTGTGATATAAGCACTATTTTAAAGACGTTGATTCCTCTGCCATTAAATGTGTTCGATAGATTGGATCTCCCTTATGTTCATAATAACAGAAATGCAAAACTAAGATAGGAAACAGATATGTGAATAAAGGAAAGAATATATGAGGAAAGCATTAACAACTAAAATAAATGACTATACAGAGTGAATTTAAATATTAGAAATGCACAGGCTCTGTAAAAAGCTGCACAAAACCCCTCCTAAACCATTAGCAGACCATATATGCACAGAACTTCTGTGTGAAGTTGAAAGGATTTATAATCAGAGATGAAAGAAGTTCAGATAATGTTGTATCCTCCCTCAGCTTTAGCGCCAAGTTACTCTGCTTTTGATTTATCCAGCATATGAACAGATTTCTGTTTTTCTGTTCATTTATTGATGACTTGATAGGGGAAAATGCCAGCTGGAAAATGAAACCATGAAAGTAAAGTGTTCTCTCTCTCTCTTTTTTTCTTACCTAGGCTGGAAAGCTGGCAATGGATCGAGGATGGGCAATAAATGTGGGTGAGTTCTTTCTCTAATGTTCCCGATCATCACTCGAAAAACAATTGCCAAGAGAATAAGTGCATTTTACTGTGGCTTATGGATTTGCTGTGTTCCCTGCATATTTGATTCCATCTCAGACAAACTATTGATCATTTAAAGTAGTGATTCTCAAACGTCCTGATATTACATAGTCACAACAAATTCCCTCTAATTTTGTCAGCGTTCAACTGACATTGAGTGGGGAAAAAATGGAAAAAAGAGCAAAGAATATGTTATAATTACATAAAATAAATAATATTTTTATTATTATTTAAAATATATTTTTAAAATAGTCATGTTCCACTGGTAGCCCTAGACTCTTTAATATTAAGATGTAACAGGGTTGTTCTCTTGGTAACTTTCAAAATTCCCCAAAGATGGCTATGTATCAATGCATTCACTATTCTATTCACATCCTCGTTTCTGAAGAAAGTGGGAGAAAAAGCGTGGCTCCTGCTAGCTCAGCCATTTCCTTCTTACCGCTGAGAAACAGAGCCACTCTTTGCCTCTGCATTGCTAAACATTAATAGACAACCGACGACTATTCATTCAAATGCGCGCGTTGTTCTCTGGAGGGTGTTGCACAGTAATTGAAAGGTGTGAATCAGCAAGCGGGGTCGTGTGAATAAGCAATAAATGCTAATCAGCAACCAACCCCCTCCCATAGAGGAGTTTCCGGAGTGCAAAGTCATTTAATGAGGCTAAATGTGGCAGGTCATGGGAGGACAGATCGGATCTGTTGCCTGAATGTATAAATACGATCCTAAATAAAAACTAGTCTTTCAATCACCCACATTTTGTGGGAACATTCAGATGGAAATCTTCTGGTGGCAGTGGAATACAGGTGCCATTTTTATGCACTGAGCTGTTTTTAAGGCTCTATTCTGCTTTATGCAGGAGGAGGCTTCCACCACTGCTCCAGTGACAAAGGAGGAGGTTTTTGTGCCTACGCTGACATCACACTAGCGATCAAGGTGAGATGTTTGCATCAAAACATTAGAGATTGCAAAATGGGCCTCTATAAGAAATGTATTAGTCATCTAAAACAGTTGTAAATAATGTGAATGAATTATGAATAACATGGCAGTTAAACAGTTTAAATCTTTGACCAGTTGCTGACTGAAATTATGATGACCAATGTCAAAATCTAATATTGCTGAGTGAATAGTTATTTTACTCAACTCTTTTTATCCAAATTCACTTAAAAATATATTTTTATTAATAAATATTAAAAATAATGCCATATATTTAAACTAAATGAATTTTGATTTTGAAAATAGTCTTTAAATGCATATACAGTAGTCGGTGGAGTTTTTTGAATTACATGCGGAAGTCAATCATCTCCAAATGATCAAATATAGTGTTGTTTTACTACTGTAACTTTACCACTCTTATTCACCTGCTGTTGTTATTGGATAACATTTTTACTTTGTAAATGAGCATTTTTGGGTTGTGGATTTGCTTATCATATTCAGTATAGTTGCCGTTTGGTATTGTTAAGAAATAATATAATTTTATTCTATTTAAGAAATAAACTGACTAAAGATAAGAGGATTACTTACATAAACATGTCATTAAACCATTTACAATCCAGCCTCTGAGTTTTATTAAACCATCCTGCACAGACTCATGGGTACAGATATCATATTTGGCATCTCTGTACCATCTTTTTACTGAAACTCATCAATTGATTTCTTTTTTCCACATTCATTCCCCTCTCAGATTGTTGCCATGTCATGAGATCCACAAACATCTCTGCAATTTGTTCCTCTGTCAGGCACATTCTAACTGCCTCCCTTGTGTGTTTCCCTCTGCAGTTTCTCTTTGAGAGGGTGGAAGGAGTTGCCAGGGCCACCATCATCGATCTAGATGCCCATCAGGTGAGCAGTCCTTTTCCATCTGCACTCTGTCAGTCAATGGAATTGACGCCGTAGACGAGATAATACCCCCTTTTTGGAGGCGAAATCAATAACTCTGCACTCTGATTACTTATATGCAACAGCTTTGACTCTTCTGCAGCTGAAACATGCTTTCTTTTGTTGTCATGACTCCGTTAGTGTTGGCTGTTGAGTGTGTCATTAGGATGATTGCCATGGCAATCACTACTCAATGATAGAAATGCTACTTTTTTGGGCTGTCAAGTGTGTTATGATATTGTACATGCTCTTATAGTGTGTAATGAGGTAATGGCTTTTTCTGTAGTTTCTGTAGATCCAGAAAAAATAATTTTGCATGATATGACCCCTTTAGAGACCAGATATGAATATCGTAAGAAGCCACTCTGTTGGTCTTAGCAGCAGTAGAATATGTCATATCCAATGCAGTGCTGAGATGGTAAATTATCCCACTCATTAATAAAATATGACCCTTCTTTAATCATTCTCACTAAATTACAAGTTTTATGATCCTTAACCAAGAGTGTAGACTTCACATGGATATCAGCCATATGCCAGTCATTGATTTATGCTTATCATCTTGATATTTGCTTGGTCACAAGTGTGTTTATAGGCTGACTTACAAACTAATTAACACCAAAGCAGCTAAGCAAGCACTTGTGAGAATGCATGTTCATTGTGACCTAGCTTCTCTCTGTGGACATTGGGGATTGTGAAGGTGAGCAGAAAATATTTGGTTTGACGTCATGGTCACCCGAGCGAGAGGAGAGCTGGATGAAGCGAAAGAGACAAGGAAGTGCTTGATGAGATAACAGAATGAAAAAAGAGAGTTGTCTCACAACCAAGGACTCTGAGGTAAAGAGTTGAATTAAGAAGCAGAGCTCTGAATGGGCAATCAGCTGCAAAGAGTTTCAGATTACAGCTGTCACACTCATCACTTCTGAGACATCCGTAATTCTTTATGTTTCAGGTTTTCAGTGAGTTAATATTGGTGCTTTATAGTTTTTCAAGATAATTTGAATCAAGACAGCAAAATATATGTCACCTATAGTGAAAGATCTTTGCTGAAAAAAATGAAATGAACTGAAAATTTTCCATCAGTTTTGATATGTTATGGTGAACCATGGCTGTTTCATTTTATTTTACCTCATTATTTTTTTATTAAAATCATGTCATAACTTGATCTTCTAGTAAAATGACTTCTCTCTGGTACTGTGTGCCGGAACCCTGTCCCTTTATTTTTAGTCTGCTTGAACCCTGTCCCTTTCTTACAATCGAGCAGAGTAGGTGTAGAGATGTTCATATTGAACCACAATTGAGTTTTTTTTATTTTTTTTTATTATTATAATGATAATTGTGATCACAGTTGTTGTCTTAATTAGTGATAAACTTATATATATCTGCTATAGGATGTTAAATCAGATGATATTTGGCTGTTTTAAGACTGTCACCCTCTTGCCGATAAGCAAAAGTTTGTTAGTTGCAGATCTGTCAATTAATAATTCACAATTTGTTTATTATTTATTTACTTATTTATTTGTTTATTATATATATATATACATATATATTTGTTATTTATTTATTTATGTATTTATTTATTTATTGATTGCTATAATTAAATTGCATATATAAGTTTGGGGTTTTTGAAAGAATTATCTTGCTCACCAAGTCTGCATTTATTTGATGAAAAATACAATAAAAACAATAATACTGTAAATTATTTTTACAATTTAAAATAATTGTTTTATATTTAAATATATTTTAAAATGTAGTTATTAATATGATGGCAAAGCTGAATTTTCATTCTGCTCATTGTAATATGCTGATTTGGTGCTTAAGAAACATTTCTTATTATCATCTATGTTGAAAACTGTTGTACTGCTTAACATTTTTAGTGGATTAAATTGTTGCATTATAAGTTAAAGATGTATCACTTTTGATTAATTTAATGATTCCTTGTTAAATAAAAGTATACATTTCTTTAAAAAATATATATTAATGACCCCAAACTTTTAAACGATAGTCATTATATCAGCCAGCCATTTCAGTCGAATACTTGCCTTAAAGGCACAATATGTAAGATTTTTTTATTAAAATATCCAAAAACCACTAGAACAGTGTTATATATTTTGCTGACTTGTGTACTTACATTATCCCAAATGTTTCGAAGAATGTTTAAATCCAGAGAAATAAGCAATTTTAACTAGTGACACGGACCGTGTCCATAGTGTCATTGTGTCACCTGCCAATGACATCATAACCCCTCGATTTCCGGTTTTGTTTTGTAGAAAACATGGAAACACCAAAGACGCTTTAATATGTTGTGCGTTTTAATAGACCGGTGACGACCGCACAGAGTAGCATTATAACATAACTTTCAAATGTATCTAGTATGATAAAACAGCGCTGCTTTTTTCCCCACATACGCACGACCGGAAGGAGCGGAAGCGGTCGACTAAGGCATAATAAAAGCTCAGCTGCTTTCGAGCCATGGGTCGCGTTCGTTCAGCGACATCATATCCTTCCTTTAATTAGTGTGAATCAACATGTTTCCCTTAAATGTGCAGTTTATTGCACTCCTTCCTAATGAGTCTACTCCTCTGCTAATTAGCCCAGCCTATTAATTAAGTTCTCACGGACCCAGGAGTTGTTGTTCCTGATAATTTTGGTGCTACAGTAGCACATAAAACTGGCATAAGCATTTTTAAGTGTGGCTTGATTGTAATTATAGTCTTTTGCTCATCGACTAAGCCAACAAGATCAGATCAATACCATTGCCGGGTGAATAATTCATGGAGGACCACAAGCAGAACAAAGGTGGGAATCTTCATGTTGGCATATAAATGTGCCTGAAAGCGCTGTCTCAGCTGGGTTTAACGGCTGTAAAAATAACGAGAGGGGAGACGTTACACTGGACTTGCGTAATATTCACCAGGTCACAGTCTGTAATTCATCAGACATCAATTTCCCACTCATCTCAAGACCTTCCTCCAGGCCTTATTTTGCTGCAGCATTTATCAGTCAATATGAATATGGGGATTTACAAAATAATCCCAGCATCTCTTAGCATCTTTCTGATTCTGTTTTTATAGTTCATGATAACGTAATATCTTCATATATCCAGACAGCATCTCTATCACCTCTTTAACTGCCTGTAGAGAACTAAAGAGGATGAATCTACATGACAACAATGAAATGGTCCATCTGACCTTTCCAGCATGTGCTTATATTAGTAAACAAGCTGTTGGGCGTTCCAGTTCCGAGGTGATTGCAGACTTGATCTCTGATGCAGAAATACTGTACCTTCCGTCCTCTGGTCTTATAATAGCATTGGCGCATTAGATAATATTACCGTTCTGTAACAGTTCACCTCTACTAGAGACCATCAGTGCAACTTAAGGGCTGCTGCATGTTCAGTAATCACTCCTGTATATATTATTAATGTAAGCTGCCTGTTAGATTTCAGAGGACCAAACTCAAAATTGTTACATGGATATCTTTTTGCCAGCAGCAAGGTTTTGCTGCTTGAGTGCACAGATGGTGCAGACAGGAGAATGTGAACGTGTCCCTAACGCGTGGTTCATAGTCTCGTAATTGGCTAACGGTTGCTTTGAGCAGAGAGACAGGACTGTTTTGGAATAAGAGGCTGGAGTTGTACACATGAGTTGTGGGCCTTGCAGCAGTTTTAAATTAAAAGTGACAATAGCCAGACGCTGTACGTGACAGATGAGGAGGATGGAATGAAGAGAGATGGAAATGTTATGTCTTCAGAATACAGAGCTCAACACTTAGCAGAGGAGAGCTACGGAAAAGCTCATCTTCGCATCTCTCGCTGTCAGTCATGCTCTATTTCAAAAACAAAAGCAGTTGCACTCGCATTGGACACATGCAATACACTGTATTGTAGTAACTATTGTTGAGAAGCTGTTTCGAGATTTTTGTGAGCTGAGTGAGTGAACAGTTTTGTAAAATACATGAAATACAAGTTGTGAAATACATATCTTTACCCAAAATTTCCTGCCGTCTGTCTCCATGGGATACATGGATATGCCAAAAGGGATGCAAAAATCATTTTTGTTGTTTTTCTACAAAATTCCAAAAAATAATTTTAAAAAGATAATTTTCTTGAAGCAAGATTAAGTTTATTAATTTTACCTGAAGAGCTTTCTAATGAAAATTTGTCTTTTACTGCCGTATTATTATTATTATAATTATAATCATTATTATTATTAAGGGTGGAATTGACACGGGGTGATTTTTTTTGTTCATTTTGATAATGTGTTGAAGGAAGATTATAATATTATTAACAAATTAATAATACAATTATTTTGTAATTATTGTTTAAATTTGAACACATTTTTACTTTCCAAGAAACACACTTGTTTTATGGTTTATTCTTTGTTTTGAGGATGTATATGTTTTTTTTAATGGAAAACAAGATGACAAAATATGCTTTTGTGCAGCATTTAAGCTGGGATTTCACCCACTGAGTTCTGCAGATTTTCACAGATTTGAACCCTTATTATTCTTTGCATGCTGACTTATTGAATATTCTTATTTAATATAGTAATTTCAGCTCATTGTAACACATTTGGCTGTGTTAAAATCCATTATGTAGAGTTCAGCAGATTTTCTCCTAAAATCACCAATCATTTTTGTGTTAACCACTAGACCATATATTTATTAAATATATTTAATTCACTGTAGTAAGTGAAACCAGCTGCAACATTAATCTTAGTTGTAGTTAATAGTCCAAAACCAGGAATCCACATAATATGAACTTACATTTGCTCTTTGATGCATATTGCAGGGAAACGGCCACGAGCGGGATTTCCTGGAAGACAGACGCGTTTACATAATGGATGTCTATAATCGCCACATCTATCCAGGAGATGGATATGCAAAGAGTGAGATAATGTGCATTTGAGTGTGTAAATGGGGATTTGAAGTGATCCTGATTATGTAAAGATATCCTGTCCCACAGTGATACGAGAAGCTGAAGCGATTTGGATCATGGTTATCTGACTAATTTAGCCTGGACTTGCTTTTTTATTTGCATATCTATACAAATTCACGCCTACACACACTCTCAAATAATGGCATCAGTATGTGAAGGCAGATGAAAGGAAATGAAAGAATGCATGTCACCCTTCTGACGGTTAGAGATTTCGCTCTCCTACAGGGGGCAGTGTCCTGCAACCCTCATGCTACTATACTTACTTATGTACTGTATGCTTGTATTTTATTTTTATCATACACATTTCTAGTGTTACCTTAACACCCTTCTTTGTGAAAATATTTGTTTTTCTATGTGTACCTTCTTAAACATTGCTTCTGATACAAATATTTTCTCACATCTACATGCCAGTTATTTTATTATTTTGGGGCATCATTTATTGTACATATATCTTAACATTTGAAAGCCTTGGCTTACAATGATACAGTATTCAAATTCTAATTGACCGTTGATGTCTGTAACAAAGTTCGTAGTCATGGGAAGGAGGAGGCGGGAACCGGCGAACATTTAAACACTTTAATAAAATAAACAAACACAAAATGAAAGTAAAGCGGCAGCCCCTCGCGGACAACTGCCGCACACAAAACACAAAATAAAATCCAGGCCTGGTCCTCTCTCGTCCAACACTGTCGTCACTCCTCCTGTTATGCTTCCGGAGCTCCTCCGTGGGACTCGAGACCGGTGAGTGGTCGCTCGCTCCATTCCCACGGCTCTCGGCCCCGCCCCTCTCGTCACAATGTCATTGTCTTTTGCATACTGAATGGTGATTGGTCTTCTTTTTCTGCCTTGCATGCACTGATATTTCCTTCAGGAAATGTTTTGATTGATATGTTGGATATCAAAGATACAGCCCACAGTGGTTTGAAGGAATGACTGACAACACGCTTCAACTGGCACGATATGGTCACATTATAATCTTCGTCAATTAACGCATCCGTTATCTGCACTCTTTTAACTCGCTCTGTCAAACATTTGAGTAGGAGTGACAGAAATATTGCTGTTCTGTTCAGCTTCAATGCACACTGTGCGACAACTTGTCAAACCTGAGATGATTTCATTAATGCATTTACATACCGTAACCAGCTGAACATAAGGTTTTATAAACGTATAATATTCTGACTTAACCTTCCCCTCGCTCTATTGAAGGCACATCCTGGCTTCTCATGATAAGTTTTACATGGCCTTACTTTCCTTAAAATGTTCATTCGTTTTTTTTTTTTCTAAACCATTTTCCCTCTGTGACTTCTCAGTATATTCAAAAGAAAACGTACCACTGTTTTCTGACTCTGCCTGGAAAGGCACAAGAGACTAATTAGGTCTTAAAAGCCTCAGAGAAGGCAAGGTATTGTGCTCTATTTGCCTTTAAACCAGGCTTAAATAAACAAAAGAACATCTTGCTTTAGTTTTTACCTTTTTAAAGTAAATAGTTAATTCTTTTCAGCTACATCCACAGCAAATTTGGTGAGAAAAGAAAGCCATAAAAATCCTTAGTGGCATTCCCCCCAGATTTTAGAAAGATGTATTATTTTTTTTTAAACGGGTGCAACTTAAAAAAATCTGTAATTTACTCACCCTCATACCTGTATCTTTTAAATAGTTTGTGGGTATTTCTTGTGTGGAACACAAAAGTAAATATTTATTGCAGACTGTCGTGGCTGCTCTTTTACATACAGTGAAAGTGAATGGTAACCAATTATATCAAGCAGTTTTAATTGACTAATGACTTATATTTTAAAAAGCTATTATATGATTTTAGACTTAGAATATAGCACAAAAGACATTTGGCCTAACCTGGTCCCCATTTACTTTCATAGTATTGAAGAAAGCAGAAAGTCATACAGGAAAATAAAAAGTCATATGACTTTTGGAACAGGGTGTGCATTTTTGGGTGAACTAACCCTTTTAATAGGTTATTTTAATAGGTTTCTTTGTCCAGTATTTGAGTGTAACTGCTCTGAATTGCTGTTATCTATTCTGTTTGCTGACATTTTACCTCCCTTTGTCTTCGTCTGCAGTTAAGGTGATGAAAGCCTAATTTGGTCTTCATTTTTGACTTCAGGGGCGATTAAACGAAAAGTGGAGCTGGAATGGGGCACAGAAGACATGGAATATCTACAGAAAGTGGAGCTCCATTCAGAAGGGGCGCTGAATGAAATACGGCCTGACATCATCATATACAATGCAGGCACGGACATTCTTGATGGAGACCCTCTTGGAGGGCTGGCTATATCCCCACAGGTACAGCTGTCACTCATTCTTTCTTTCAGTCCACCATATCAGATCTGAGACGCACTGCTTCAACTCGGCAGGGTTTTCTAGCCTGGTCAATAAACTTCTGTATCAATTATTCAGAATGAATGGGCAGAAAAACGTGGGACAAACGTGGACAGACGTGGGAAAAACGTCTTCATTTTGAAGATTTGGAGGGAGATTAGAAGAAAGACTTTTTATTAAAATCATATATCATATAGTGTATTAATGGTGACAGTGTTTGATATGCCTGCACATGAGGTTACCCTATGCCATTGTGACCTATTATGCCTCATAAATCAAATGCTATCAGCAAGTTTATGTACTTTTTGTATTTCACTTGCACATTATTGAATTTTCATTATTAAATGTTTATGTAAAATTTTATACTCTGCAAAAAGCATTTTCTTAATCATAGCATCTCGCTATAATAGCGAGTCCAATTCTTGCTATTAACAAGCATTAACTACAACTATTTCCTCTATAAACTACTAATTTGATTTGCTTCTTATTACTAGTTAGTTAGGTAGTTGTTAAGTTTAGGTATTGGGTAGGATTAAGGATGTAGAATATGGTCATGCAGAATATGTGCTTTATAAGTACTGTATTTATAAACGGCCAATATGTTATTAATAGGCATGCTAATAAGCAACTAGTTAATAGTGAGAATTGGTCCCTATACTAAAGTGTTACCTAAATTTAAATAATCTGTGAAACAATATTAACTTAAGAAAAAAGTGCATTACACATTAAGACTTGTTTTCAGATAATTTTTGACTTTTTTTCTTGTTTTAAGCAAAAACCTTTTTTATGCTCAAGTTGGAAAATAAACCAGTAAACCTATTTTACTTAACTCTAAAGAAAGACACCAAATACATTAGCTTAGCTATTTGAACCAATTCATTTGAAACTTCTCACATGTGGCATTTTTTAAACAAATTTCAGATTGATATTTTGCTAAAAATTACTCATTACATATGAAGCCATGTTTAACACTGAATAATACTAAAATATTCTCTCCCGTCTTTCAGGGTATCATAAAGAGAGATGAGATCATCTTCAGGGCAGCCCGGCGACGAGGAATCCCCATCCTTATGGTGACGTCAGGGGGCTACCAGAAGAAAACCGCCCGCATCATTGCTGACTCCATCCTGAATCTGCACAGACAGGGTTTGATTGGTGAAGAGGCTGTAGAGGGTGCGGGACCCTCACATGTACCGCTCATGATGAGCAAATCTGTGTCATTGGGGGCCACGTTCAGTGCCATTTAAACTCTCCTGATCTTGGACCTTGTCAAGTGTGTCAGACACACTGTTCATTTATCTAATGCAAACATTTAGAACTAATATATAATGTTCTGGTCAGGGATCTAATGGTTTGGTGGTTTGGACCGAGATTGACTCAGGATAGTTTTCGTAGTTCATCGATTTGAACTATTTAACTCGTATGTTGCATTTTTTGTGATAGTTTTGGAGTGAAATTTTGAAATTGGGTAATATTTTCAACTTTTTCATCATTTCTTAAGGGTATGCAATGCTTGTTTGCACATTCAATTTTCAAAGGAATAGTTTACCCCAAAATAAATTCTGTCAGCATTTGCTCACACTCATTCCAAATCCATTCAGTTTTATTATATGTAAAAGAACATTTTTCATTTTGTGTTCCACAAAAGAAAGACAATGATACGGGTTTGGAATGACAGAATTTTCATTGTTGGGTAAACCTTTTTAATTGGTGCCCACAAGTTGGGCATTGAAAGGGAATTGATTTCTTCTCAATTTCAAATTTAAAAAACAAATCTAAGGGATACTGTACATTAATACATTCCTCTAGAGATCCCCAGTTTGAGATCCACACAAGAAAAATAGATCATATGCCAAGAGTTGATTTTATTGAGGAATTTTTGTCAGCTGCAACACTATATTAGATTTATTCAAAATTAAATTATGGCATTATGAATCAATTTTGGATGCATTACAGATTCCTCATTGCGTCGACCTGCTCTGCCATCACGCCTTAAATTATTCTGTGCCATTAAATGGAAGTTGCTTTTAAGACCTGCTTTTGTGACCAGTTGGTTTTAGCAGCACGCAGGAATTCTCATTTGTGTGCATCAGCAGGTGGACCACTTGCAGGCTGAGTGCTTTCTATCATATTACACCTGGCAGGCTTTTGAAATGTCTTCAGGCTGAGGCCGGGGCTCTCTCTATTAGGAAATGAAACTCTTCATTGGAGAATTTGAGAGACACTGCAGTTGGTTACCAGTGACAGTTCTAAAGCCGTGATCTTGACTGCCTCAATTTAACAAAATGGGTCCTGTCATCTAGAGAATAAGTAGGAGATGATGACACTGGTTTCTTTTTTTGTTCAGATTCTAAATTCTAGTTTGAAATCTAGATTCTCAGATTTTGATTTTGTTTTTGTTTTGTGTTTTTTTTTTTTTGACATCAAATGTAGAACAGTCTACTATTTTTACTCGAGGAGTTCATTACTCCACACAGATTTACCACTGAATTTGTCACTATTGGCATTATAAGCTTTTATTTAAAGGTATGATTCACCCAAAAATGAAAATTCAATCCTCATTTATTTACCCTCATGTTTTTTCAAATCTGTTTGACCTTTTTTTTTTTCTTGTGGAACATTAGTATTTAGGACATGATAGGAAGAAATATGAGATGGGAAGAAAAAATTACATATCAATGCTTTTGTGATCACTCACAAGACTATGTAATAATATGATAATATGTGGAAATAATATGAAGTGGGAGGAAAAAAACTATACTGTATTTCAGTGCTAATACAAGTGAATGTAAAGTTTCTTGGGAGAATGTTTTGCAAGTAAGTGCAAAGTTTTTTAAGGTGTCCAAAAGAAGCGTAAAGTTTCTTCAAAAGTTTTGCAAGTGAACATATTGTTTCTCTGGGAACGCAAAAGTTTTTCAAGCGAATAAAATTTTTCCTGTGGGAGCACAAAAGTTTTGCAGATGAACACCAAAGCATTGAATTTAACTTTTCTTTACATCTCATATTTTTCCATCACAAACAACTGGTTTCTATCCACTTGTGTAAAATAGAGCCGCATTAACATTTTCTAAAGTATCTCCTTTTTTGTTCTGCAGAAAAAAAATCCCATAATGAGGGTGAGTAAATGAACTATCTCTTTTATTTCGTTTTATTTCAAGCTCAAGGCTGGTATTCAGAGGGTTGTCTTCTTAAGGAGCAAGTTAGGAGTTTTGTGGTAGGCACTTATCCTCAGGTTGCAGGGGTAATGGTCATTGCTCTGTTATGTAGCGACATTGTGTGAAATTTGTCGAAACTAATTCCTCCGACCTTGTCCATAAAGTTTTGCTGTGAGGTGCTAGTGAACCTCCAGACCTTACTGCACTAAATTGCTCTAAGAACATTGCTCTGTTCCTTTGAGCATCCCAACCACCCCTAAATAGCAAAATTGCATGAGCCAATGGCGTGATTTTGGGGCAGATTTATATTTCTGTGTGGCTCATGGCAGATAAGGACTGCATCCAAAATCGCATACTCTCTAAATAGGTGATTCTTTTGATTAAGTAATTACTTGGTAACAATTACAAAACTATGTTCTAGATAGTAAAAATGTGTGTAGTGTGGATGTAATCCGGGCGTCATCCAGGCACTATTGGCGTACTGTTTTATGAATACTGTGAATTCGGACACACTACTTCGTTTGCCTACTATACAGTTGGGAAGTTTGCGATTTCGAATGCAGCCAAAATATCTGGAGGGGCTAATGGTACAGAAACTACACACATCATGTTTAACAGTGAATTAACATGTAATTTTTAAAAACCTATTGAAATAATATGATTGTTGTTATTTATTTTGTGATTTGTTTACAGTGACACCTCCCATTCCACGTATCATGGTTGGAGACTTAGGTTATAAAAGCACTAAATTAGTGAGGTGTTTACCCTATTGGGAATGGCAAAAATTTGAGCATTATGAAGGTTTTTTTTAGGTCTTGGGGTGAGGATATGAGTCTCATATTGCACTCGGTGCTGGAGGGATCTTGGTAATGGACACTAATGAGTGTAGTAGGGCTCTTTTCATTTCCTTTCTTTTTCACTTTAATGAAAGGCGTCAAAAGGATGCGTATGGAGGTCACTTGAAAGAAGTGAACCCTTTAGGTCTAGCTAGCAGTTTAATGGATCCGTACATGAAAAGGACCACCGTGGTCCTGCTTGAACAAATGACTTTCTGATGAGTATTTCATGTGCATAGGTCTAAATGGGATTTCAAACTTGCCTACTTCATTGGTAACATTTTGTTTTGGTTGATAACCTTGTGTACACCTTGAACACTAAACGTCTTATGCACTTATTGTGGTTTGTGCCACTTTATGAAACATGTATATTCAATTTATTCCTTTGTCTTTAATTATTTTTGAAATTTTATTAGTAACTCATTAATCATATCTTGTCTATTTAAACCTGTTTTTATGTATAAAAATACTTCACTACTTGGGTAATATACATTTATACAAATCTATAGAGATGGTGCTTTGTTAACATATAACAAATGTGCCAAATGTCTTCATGTTGGGTTTGTCATGTTGTTTTTTACCTTTTATTTATTTAATGCCATTTCCATGTAAGAACAGGGAAAATAAATCAAGTCTAACAATGCAATTACCGAAGACCTCATGTTTATTGTATACTATATCTGTTAACACTTCATATGATTTATATGACTTTGTTCCATCAGCATGACATCTTCAAACACCTGCTGGTTTATTGTTCAAAAGCTTCGCCACAGAAGATTAATGTTGAAAGCAAGTGCTGAGCGGCGGGTCAAATGTGCTGTATTATTCATCATCTCTGCTTTCAGTCTCTTTTGTTAGTGTGTTTGTTTTGCAATGCAAAAGCAGATATCATCTACTTATACTGACGTTTCAGCATGTGTGTTCCCAGGGAATCAGACCCATGACCTTGGCGTTGCGAGTGCCAGTTGAGCTGAATGCCCATGACGTGGATATGCTTTCAAAAGGTGAATGATTTGCAACCATTTATTCTACTTTATACAACTTTTTTCCAATCTAAAAGCCAAAAACTACACCCACTTCTGTGAGCTTTCCGGTATGCCAACCGTGTGTATGTCCCTCCCGTACTCCACCCTCCAGTGATGTCATGAGTTATTTCAGGAGGTGTCAATGACTCCGCGATCAAACGTCCAGAGCCCACTGACATCATGTGAGCTGTCCGTCTGAGAGCTACAAAAGCAGTTCAGATGTCTTTATTCAGACTCCCCATCGCCACCGTTTTACAGGCTCTCATTAACAGCTGCTATGCCCTGTTTACATAGTCTGAGGTAATGAGTATGGGTCCCTTGTTCCTTACTCTTCAGCCTGATTAAGGACTTTCTCGGTTGTTCTTTGAAGGAGAGATGCTAGAGTGGTCTTGACTCATTTAGGCATGGTTATGGGGAAGCTATGAATCCTTGAGATTACTTTTAAGTGGCATTGAACGAAAATGCAATGTTGTTGGATACTGAATATTTCATACCGAGTGCCTGGCGGGACTGACTGCAGTCGCATGTGCCTGACTGGATTTATTGATTTATTTTAATACATTTCATTTATAAACAAAGTTTACAGTTTTACTGTTCAGTCACTCATGGCTTGAACTTTATTATATACAGTTGTTGAATTGAATTCAGCTTTGGAAACAACCTACAATCTCTGTTGAAGTCTCAGGGGGGCTGTTTAGCTCCATGTGAAGCAGTTTAACCTTGTAAATGTACTCTCAGGAGGAATTTTTACTGAAATTACTTTAAGCGGGAAGAGATGTTTGATCTCAAGAATGTGGTGAGGACATTATCAGATTCCATGTATTGGTAAATAAAGGATCTGTTCACCCAACAATGAACATTTTACTTTAATTTAGATATTTGGTGGAACGTCCAAGTTGTACAATGAAAGCAGATGGTGTTTTTTTACTGCCATGCCCCAATAAGGACAAAAAACAAAATCAGTCTAGAAACACTGTACAAGTCTTTTGAAGCCATACAATAAATTGCCTGTGTGTTAAACTGATGTAGTCTTTAAACACATTTGACCAATTATCTGTCACGTGACCAGTCACAAAGTGGCAAGTTTGAAAAAATGCAACTGCAAATGAAATTTGATAGCTACCACAGAGACTTAAATGTTGGGCTGTTCCTGACATCTGTCATATTCAAAAGACTTGAAATAGAGTATTTTTACGGTAATTTTATAGTGCTTTTTGTCAGTTTTAGAGCTTGGCACTGTAAATCCACTTTCTTTGTATGGAAAACTCAGATATTTTGTTTTTCACAGAGTAAAGAAAATGATAGTGGGGTGGAATGACATCAGGGTGAGTCTAAACAAAATATTAATTTTTGGGGGTGAACTATTCTTTTAATATTAGAAATCCACCCTTCTGTGGTTCAGAATCTTACTCTCTGGTTCACAATATCAGGAGGAGATGCAAGGCAAAAATTGTAGCGAGATGTCAACTCGGCCAAAAGTGCACAGCCCACTCTCCAGACGTACTGAGGTGGGAGATCTTCGCTCTCGGCCAATTTAACACCTGACCACCATCCATTTCCCACATAGAACGAGATGACACCATTAAGGAAGGCCACTCTTTTCCCCATGTTACTCTCTGCAGGCTGGATCAGCTCATCCACTGGTATAATGGCTAACACCCATTGAGCTGTGCATATCGTAAAGGCAATTCAATATAGATGGAAATGAGATTAGACTGTGTTATTAGATCGCACTTTTCCAGTTAGGCTAAGGCAGCGGGCACCCTGTTACTATTCAAGGCTATTCTGCAGATTTGTCTGAGGGGAGCAGGTGCATAAGTTATTGTGTGCATTCAATCTCTTGTTTGAGGTAAACACATTGGTAGGGAAATATTTTTGAGACTGAATACATTTTCAATTGCATTCTGAAATGCACCTATTCATTAAAGTGCTGTCAGTCAGTTTAAACGACATTTCTTGAGCTTTTTGTGTGCTAAATTTAGTGTGGAGGACAAAGTCCGCCACTTCAAAATAAAGAAATCAATTAGCCATGTATTTTAATATATTTTAAAATAGAATTTATTCCTGTGAAGGCAATGCTGAGTTTTCAGCAGCCGTTACTCCAGTCTTCAGTGTCACATGATCCTTCAGAAATCATTCTAACATACTGATTAACAGTTGTGCTGCTTAATATTTTTGTGGAAACCATGATGCATTTTTCAGGATTCTTTGATGAATGGTTTAAAATAGGTTTAATAACATTGACATAGGTTTAATAACATGACAACCCTCGGAACATTTTAGCATGGTGATGGATATGACAATGTTAATGTATTTGGTCTTGGCGGAACAGATCTGCTACGCTGCTGCTGTTGGTCATTGCTGTAGTTGTAGATTATTGCTGCTGCTGCAAGCAAGTACAGGACCTTGCTACTGCCAGTGCATACGGCGATACGGTGCCGTGAGTATTTAAGACATACTGCTGCTGCACAAATAGCATATAAAATAACCATTCATCCTTGCTGAATAAAAGTATTAATTTCTTTAAAAACAATCGTACTGACCTCAAAC